TCCGAGCAGCTCGTCTGTAACACTGACTGGGTTTGCATTTTCCTTTTCATTGTTTGAATCGCAGTTCTGGCTTCAAGCCATTTCTGGGTTGCTTACAGCATGGTTAAATATTTCTCCTTTCCAGTGGATGATCTTTCAGAATCTGTAATAAGGTCTTGTTTAATCAACAAGTCTTTGATCTTATGCTTCACCATGTTGCGTACTATTGTGTTGATTTCTTTCTCATTTAAATCTGATTTTTTTTCCCACAAATAACCAGGATCCAGTTCTGTCTCAGTGCTCTCCTGTTGTACTATGACAGCTTTTAAAGCTGTCTCTTTCTCTTCTGGCTCCTTATCCTTACTTCTAGCAACTGTTTTGATGAGGCCGTACAGTTTGGTGTATTACTTTGCTGTCTTGGTTCGAGTACATATATGTATGTATATGTATAGGATTTGCACTGCTGGCTAAACCACACAATGCTTCCTGCTTTGGATTCCTGCGGCTCTTGATCTAATTATTACTTCATTTTCCTTGCTGGTATACCTAGCCTGTCAGTCTCACAAAGGCATCTCTGCCAGTCCCATAGGTACACATCTTCGTTAGCTGTCTGTACATCACACTGCGTGATGACACGCCACCTGCTGTCAATCTTTCTTGTCTGACCTTCTGCTTTGGCCTGGGCTTTGGAACAGGACTGTGAGTCAGCGTGCATTGCAGATGGATACCAGACAGCCCGACCTGATCGCAGGTACTACATCAGACAGATGTAGGAGGCTTGGATCCCTCTTTGTCCTTACCAAGCTGATACTGCAGCTGTGGCTGCTGTCACTTCTCTGCATTTTCTGTGTCAATTTAACTACTACAGGAGCTCCTTTAGGTTCACATGGCCAGGGTCACTGCAGGTATCAGCCTAGAAGGGGACGGAGTGCCGTCATACTCTGTTGCTTAACATTCTAGCTCTGGCTTATGCAACCCTTTTAAAACAATTGCTACTTAAAGGCCTTTATGATGCTGACTTACAAGCAACTGACTGTGAGGGTTGTGCCTCCAGAACAGAGGGTGGGTTCAGTGTCTCTAGAGCTGTGTGTGTTGTTTTTGTGTTCTGTCCCATGGGAGGATGTGGGTTGATGACTGCAGCAGCAGCAGACCCTTCAGCAGGCCTTTTGACTGTCCTCTAGCTCTGCTCCCCTGGAGCAGGCAAGCAAGAAGTGAATTGTGCCCATTTGGCTCAGAGCTGATGTCCCTGCATCCCTAGCAAGCTTCACCAAGGCCCTCAACTTTATCTAGACACACTCAAATGATCTTGCTGGCTTGTCCCTGCACAGGTGCAACACAAGATGTAGCTCATCACTGCTAAAGCTTCTCCTCTTATAGCTGCTGTACGCTGGAGCGTGCTGGTCTGTCTCTGTTGCCGTGCCACCAGGTAGTGTCTGCGCACAGAAGACCTGATTTTGGAGAGACAGAGGCTCCTTCCACGTAAGTCTTTTATCCACAAGTAAGGGAGGTACCCAGACTAGTACGCAGACACAGCCTGAGAAACTCAGCTGTCACCAGCACTGTTCGATCCTGTCTCCCCACCCAAACGCCATGTAAGCCCATCTCTCTGCGCCAGCATTTATTTATTTTTTTTAGCAACCCAGGACAGGGTCTGGCCTACCCAGTCTCAGCAAGCAGGAAGGGTGGAACATCCTGAGAACCCTGCCTGTCTGCAGGGAGATCACCTGCCTGCTCAGCACAAAGACATTTCCACCTATTTATCACAGCCCTGTTTTAGTTAAGCATTCCAGGTGTATGTGTCCAGTTTCTGTGTAAATATGTGAAAGTATTGGCACCGGGATGACATTGGTCCTTTTATTTAAATAATAAAGAATCCTTAAACTGCTGTGTTGCAGCTAATGAAAATTTTGTAGCACGGTGACTCAAATGTTTGCAGGAGAAAATTGCTCGTTACAGAAGAATAGCGTGCCCAGTGGTGGGAGACATCTGCCTCTAGCGTTCGGTGTTACAGGGTACCCTGAGCACGGTCTGCACAATGATCTGCTTCCTGCACGGGGTGAGGCTCCAGGCTTACCAGAGATGTCTTTGTGGTTTCTGCTGGTCTTCAGTGCTAAGACACCTCAGTTGCAGGAGGGAATTTGGACGAGCCTTCAAGAATATGAGTACAGGAGCTGAGAGGCCCCAAAGATGAAGCTGGGACATGCAGATGGTTGTGTAGAGCCAGGACTGACACTGTGCTCTTGCTGGTGACAATCTAGCGCAGCTCTGTGCAGTGTGAACAGAAGTGAGAAAGTGCCCTAGGACAGGAGTGGTGTCCTTACATGCTGGTACCCATTTGCATGGTCTCTTTGCTCTCTCAACTCATTGCTCTCAACTATTGAGGTCTTTAAAAGACGTTTAGATGTAGAGCTTAGCAATATGGTTTAGTGTTTGACTGTTAGTGTTAGGTCAGAGGTTGGACTCGATGATCTTGAGGTCTCTTCCAACCCAGAAATTCTGTGATTGATACTCCTTTATTTGTTGCTCTAGCCTCAAGTTACCTCGCTCCTTTCTGGAGGAGTACCTAAAACTAGGTGTGGGAGGGACAGCAATTTCCTCTTGCATTTTTCTCTGCTTTTTGGAGTTTAGATTCTTGTCATTTGTGGCAGTCTCAGCCTTCATGAATAAAAGTTCCAAGGTCTGCTTTACAGTGTCTCTTGATTCTTATCTTCCTGTTCCTTACCATCATCTTCGCTTTCCTTCTTTAGAAACCAGAGCTGTGCTCAGTATCATGACTGCTTCCATTTCATTGTCTCTTTTCTTACAGACTTATATTAACCTGGAGATATTTTGTCATGGCACAGACATGTTCTTTTTCATCCTTCACAATAGCAATAAATTAAGTAAATTTGTCTTTATCTTAATGCTATCGTTGTAGAACAATTAGGTTAAACAGAAAACACCAATATATATTTTTTTCTTTGGAGTCATCTTTTATCCACTAGAGATAAAACATAAATCCAGAACCAAATTATAAGTTTGAACCAAATTATAAGGTTTTTTTTTTTTAGTCTCTCTGTTCCACTTCTCTACATTTTTATTACTTTACTGTTAACAAGATTTGTATCTTAGTCTTGTAAGTGTGTGCATTACTTCACATACCTCAGTAGCTCTCCTGAAGTCATGGGCAGAAATTGTCAGCTAGTAGGTATTAGCACAGTATTAAGTAATTGAAAGCAGATGACTTAACTGGCGCCTGCATATCAGTTTCTAATTCTGCACTAATTTCTACATGCACAACTTGTTACGAGGATGATTGTTCTTGCTTTTCTGTAGTTACAGAACTGCCCAAGGAGAGGTTAAAATACTATAGCAATAGCATTTACTGTGGGCATGTTTATGTCTCAATCTCATTTAAAGGAGAGAATGAGAGCAGTCATGGCAAACGTGATGGGGGAAATGTCACGTGCGTTTTTGAAGCAATTCCAATGACACATTAGTATAGCAAGATCTTGTTAGTGGATTAGTGTTTAAGGCAATTCTTCAGCATTCTGCAAGTCAGGGCAGTTCTGGATAATGTATGTTTCTCAATTGCAGAAGAGATTGACAAGGCAGCAGGAGACTCCAGCCAGAGCATTACTTTGTGTCAGTGAAAAGGAGGGTGGTATTTTTAAGAGTATCTTAAATGAGACACTGAGTGAATGCTGTTTGACTCAGAGTCCTAGGTGAAGCTATGCAATCTGTTTTTAGAGGAGCAGACAAAAAAAAAAAAAAAAGTTTTTTTTTTTAAATATGATAAGTTGAGTCATCAGGCATATAAAAAATATTTCTGTATGCCCTGGCTTTGAATTTCTTCCCCCATTGGCTTGCAATATGCATGAGATGATCTCAGAGCAATGTAAAAGGATAACCAAAAACTTAAAATAATAATAAAAAAAAAAAAGTTCAGTTTCCTTGTGCAGTAATCTCTGCTCCAAGCAATTTTACAGCTTGCACACAAGTTATTTTCACTGCTTTCTGGTGGCTAGTCCTGCACATAGTTTGTACTGATACCACCATAGCAGGACAACCTGGTCCTGTTAGTGTTGTTACTGACAAATCAAAGAACTGTGCTAAAAGGAGTTAGTTAACAAATGCCTTTCCAAAAGCTGAAATGGGATTTACCTTTGGATGTGGCTTTCTTATTGTCTGCTTTATGCAAAGAATGAGATTGAAATCAAGGGATGCTGTGGTTGTTTTGGTGACACTGAAGGTACCAGAGCATTTGTGAACTGGGCTGGATATTGAGCTCTTTCTGGAAAACTCAGCTCTCTGTGTACCATGTAGGAAACTTTGGTGCTTATGGAAGATGCCTCCGCTTGAGGGCTGAGGCTGTGAACCCACTCTGGGACTCAGCTACAGGTGCTACCCCTTGTGTTTTTTTTTTCTCTTTGATAAGAGAACTGGGCTTAAGTGATACACATGCCTTGTTGTCATAGGGTTTCTGTGTTTAGACACCTTCAAAAGAAAAAAAAAAACGTAGCTTTGCGTCACATTTCTTCCAGCTTCAGTTCCCAGAGTTACTGTGGTTGAGTGTTACTTTCTCATATTCAGTCTTCGTTTTTCGTGGACCTGACATAATCAAGATGATCTGGTTTGAACACACTGTGTAGACAGAGTAAGCTAGAGAAGGCTGCAAAGCTAGACTGAAGACTGCAAGTTCCAAACATGTTTTTGACTTGAATTAAGCAGACAAGTAATAAAATAAACCCAGCAGCAAATCCTCTGGCAGCAATAATCAAACAGAGCCCTGTAACAATCTTAACTGCTACAGCGCTATCAAGAACAACTTCGAAAATGGATGAAGACTCTTGTAAAATGAAAACTTCTCTTGTTTCCTGAAGTTTGGCAACTGATGCAATGAAAGGTACTCCCTTAAAAAAACTGGAAAAGAAATGGAAGGTTTAGTAGCTATTGTTCGCCAGCTGTTGTTTGTGTGGTCCTTGTACAAGATGTTGACAGCTTCCAAGCTTCCAGAAAACTGACTTGGCTTTGTTTTTCAGGATCCTTATTTGAAATAATGATTTGGAGCTACTGGGATAGTTCATCACCTACTCTGCAAAGGCACTGCGTTCCCATGGCCAAACTCCTAGCCTGGGCAGAGGGACCTGAGTGTCGGTTACTGTGCAAAGACCCAGGTACACTGCATTCATTCCTTGCTGCCATTTTGTTTTTAGTGAAGTCTAACTCAGTCTATCCCTGCATGACCCACATCCTTTGAAGTTACCTGCTCCTAAACACCTGGCTTTAAGACTCACACTCTAGAAGCCTTGTTTTGAGTCCTTTGTTAATTTTTGATTGTGTGAGTATGCATATGTTCTCTTTGGAAATCCACTTGTACAGAGATGGACAAAGATAAGCTTTGTGTGTCACTTTGTGCAGCCTAGCAATTGGTGTTTGTAAAGATAAGTGAATGTGACTGAAATCCAGTGATAGATGCACTTGAGCCACATGCATCTTGCAGGAAAGGAATGGCCAAATTTAGGTACAAGTCAAATTGTAAGGTGTTATGGGTGTGCACCATGCTTTTTAGTTCTTTCAAAGTATTTATAGGAGGAAAAACATTTTCTTGCTGAATATTGATACTGTATTGGAAGATACTTGTGTGCAACCTTGAGGAAAAACATAAGCTATGAAGTTTGGACCTGCGTTTGTAACAAGTAACAACACAAAAGTTTGCAATGCAGTCCTGACCTTATTATATATGCCTGGGCTTTTCCCTTCCAATTTGCATAGCCTGTAGGTCACCTTACTTTGTTTCCCAAACGTGTTTGCAGATTGTTGTGCCCTGCCTTGGCGAATGGGCTCTCCATAAACTTGTGGCTACAAAGGCAGGTAGAAGTATGAACATCTGTGTCAGATGTTGTACCAGGAGGTGATAGGACCAGCTAGACACTAGGAGCAGTGGTCTGCAAACACTATGCTCCAGGTTAGAAAGGGTATTTGGGATATGGAGATTGCTCATAATTTTTTGTTTGAATCCTGAGCATGTTGGAGGGAGGCTACCCTCAGCTGGGACCTGGGGACTGGTACTGCATGTGCAGAGTCTTAGACCCCTGAGAAGAATGGTTGTGAGTGTAGCGTATTTTTCAATCTTATCTAAAGATTAATCTGGCTCATACACTACTATTTTTCAAATTGAATTTTTCTAAAGCAAGTTGAAATTACCTTTGTCATGAATGGTTGAAGATAATCCAGAGAACTGTTTAGAATCAAGTAGAAGCAGCTACTGTATGAAACAATGCAGGTCCTGGCTTTCTGGCAACTTAGGAAAACCATAGGAATAGTAACAAAACCACCACAGTCCTTACGAGTATGGAGCCTTATTACAGGCTGTAAAATGGGAACGGTCTTGTTAGTGTCCTCGTTAGTATTTAAAAGAAAAATTAGATCATCTGGTGAATGCAGAGTTTTAGGCCAGTTAAACTTCTTAATTCATCAACCCTAAGAAAGAAGAGAAACCAAACCTTGCCCTCAAGTCTTCTTCAGCCTTTCCCTTCAAAAAGGCTTCCGGTGGCTGCCTACCTCAGGAGGTATGTTTAGGACAGCAGCGTTTCATAAGTACTGACTTCTTCATGAAGGAAGAGCTGCTCTCGCAACAAAGAAGCAGAGTAATTTGTCAAGAGTCTTCTGTAAATGCTAATATATTCTCAGGAGTTTTCCATCCTAACATTAACTTGGGATTGTTTTGAATAAAGTGGTTTGTGTTTCCTTGGCAGGAGTCTTGGAAACTGGATGCCTTTACAGGAGAAAAGGTGAAAACCATGCTTGGCTGGTTGAACACTCATGAACCAACATCACCTTTGTCTCCAAGAGTAAAAGAAAATGACTTTTCCTGCCATGACTTCAAGTAAGTGGCTGTTGCATGCCATGCCTCACTTGCCAGGCTTTGGGGACATGGTGCATATCTGAACTTCTTTTGCAAAAAAGACACTGTCGATTTTTGCCTCTACGCAAGATAAGATGAAGTTGCTTTTGTGATACCACTTCAGGCTCAGTTCAAATCAGAGGAACACCATTCAGCTTACTCAGGGGGGTCACGGACCCTTTTTGGAGCTTAAGGGCTTGGTTCTTGAGGCCTTGCGTGCTATTGTGTGTCATCAATGTAACCTTTAGCTAAGAATTTTGCTGCTGCAAAATACAAGTTGGACCTGTAACCCAAGCTGAATGTACTCTTGAATGCTGAGAAATGTGGTGGTTCTTCTCAAGCGATGGTTGCCATGCTTGCTTAACTGTCTAAGAGCAAAGACACAAATACATCCTTCCTGTGGCTACTGATCTAGCTAGGCAGGTCAGACCGTGTTTTGCTCAGGAGGCAGATGGGGACAGGCTTTGATCCCCAACTGCCTGTTGTTCCATCAGAGGATTAACAATACTTTATGATTAAGAAAGAATGCCTGGCAGGTAAATGAACCAGAGACTCATGGAATAGTCAGTGGAGGACACCTAGGAAAGATGAGAACAAAGCAGTCAGAGTACGGTGCTTCCTCAGAGTGGTTTCTAAACCTGCAGTGGTTTGACTCAGGAAATCTGTGGATCACAGAGGTATAATCATCATATTTAAGATCTTTATGGGGATTCTTATTTCAGAAAAGTGATTAAACCTTTTAAATGTGCAAAGTATTTGACATTTTACATATCTTGCAGTGAGGAGACCCATACCTTACCTGTATATCATATGACAGAGTATCTCCTTGTGCTCATTTTAAACCTGCTGTTCTTATTTGAAGTCCCCTTAGAAGAAACAATGAACAGTCTTTTCCTGTTTACTCTCACAATTCCACACGTTACTCTCCAGATATCTGTTGCCTCTCTGTGCACCTTTTTCAGCTTGCAGAATCCTGGTGCCTTCAGACATCCCATGCACAGACGCTATTTGGTTCCTTTGGACAGTTGTTCTGCCTCTTTTGGGATGTTTTACTGTTCCTTTGTATCTGCTTTGAGATAGGAAATGGACCAGAACTTCATGTAGTATTTATGATACAGGCATAATGTGGATAAATTGTGATATGTGTGCCCCCCTTTTTTGTTTCTCTGTTCTCTTTGCAGATAATCTCTATCATTTTTCTCTGGTTTTGATTGCTACTGAGTTGATATTCTTGTAGGAGTTTCTGCCTCCGTCTTATTCCTGAAAAGCGTAACCAGCTCAACACCTGTCATTTTGTAGGTAAGGCTAGGACTTGTTTTCTCTGTATGTGTCACTTTATACTTATCAGATTCTCATCTGTTTTATTAGTCTTTCAATGTTGTGAGATGCTTTTGGAGTTCATTGTGGTTAGTTTTTCTTTCTACTGCCACGAATATGCAGTTATTGTGGGATGATTGTCACCTCGCTAATTATCTCTTTTTTTTGCATACCTTTTATGAATATAACAAATAGCAGAGATTCCTGTGAGTTTGTGAACTGGCTTCACTAAAAATCATTATCATTTTTCTTCTCTCTTTTAACTGTTTTTCCATCTTAAGCCTTCGTATCCCATGGGAGCTCAGCTTTTTTAAGAGGTGTTTGTAAGACAACGTCCTGTGTAATTTCTGTAGGAAATACAAGTAGACAACATCACTCAGACTTGCCTCATGGACCAGCTGTTGACTTGCTCAGAAATTGAGGTAGGTTTTCAAGGCAGGACTTTGATTTACAAAAGCTATGATGGTTTTACCCCACGCAACATATTTTATAGGAATACTTGCTACTTTTATTACTTCATTGCCTGTGCTAATTTAGTCACTTTGTAGATCACGCTACACCGTAAAGGGTTCCCCATGCTTGTTTTACAATTATTTTTTTTAAAGTTTTCCCCTAGTGTTTTGGCAATGAAGTAGCGTTGGATGAGAGGCAGCACACCATCATCAGTCACTTAATTTTTCTATCCTTCACCCTGGTTGAATGCTATCTGTTCTTGGTTGTTTCTTGCTGTTAGCTTTTCCAACCTGTCTCTTTTGATACTTAATTTCTAAGAAAAATTATCTAGTTGGTTCTGGTGTGCCTCTCTTTAACAGTGTGTGTGCAGTTTATGCGCTTAATTTTATAATACTTCACACTTTTCAGCTTTTCTGCAAAAGGCTTTATTTGTTCCCAATGCAGCTATGCATTGCAGTAATGCAGCTATGTGGTCCCTGTCTTCAAAATTGAGTGCGGCAGTAGCTGATTTTCCAGCTTTGGTCTCCCTAGAAATGTTGAAACAGCTGCTGATACTGTTCAGGTAGGTGGCAGAAATATTTTAAAGCAATTGTGTGTACTAATCAGGTCTGAATCAAGAATTGCTTCCCATCTTGTGGATTTCCTGACTGTCTATTCCTGAAACAATTGCTCACAGCATGCAAAAAGCTGGTATTATCTGACTGACAGTGTAAAGATTTCACATTTTACTTGAGAGTAATTGCAAATAATTATTAATAATTGTTCCCTGGCATTTCTATTATCTTCCTGCCACCACATTTCCTTTATGTCTGTTTGCACATGTCCTTGTTAAAGGTGAAGTATTCTGGGTCTGTGCCATCTTTAACCTTTTTCAGGTAATTCTGTGAAACATAGGAAGCATTATTTTTGCTTTCTGTCTCTGCATTCTGTTCACATCAGACTTTTTTTTTTTAAACTTCTGTTTTGTTTACTATTGATCTTTGTCAACTTCTGATGTATTCTTTACTTAAGAATACAGTGTCTAGCATAGGATTCAGAACAATGCATCCCCTGTGCACCAGGCTGCTTTCTCCTACTTCTCAATTTAAAATTCCTATATGATCTTCCTTTTGTGAAGTGCAGATGTTGCTTACCTGCTCATCTTTTGCTACTCCAGAGGCTTCCCCAGTCCCTAATAAATCTGCACCTCTCTTCCTTACTCTGTTGCTTTAGCCATGCATTGAGACTTTGCCTCCCCACCAGCTGTTATGGGGGTCCTGTTCTTTGGCATCCTGCATTCTGCCTCCAGAATCCCTCACCTTCCCTTTCTTGTACTTAATACCCATGTAGACCACAATGCCTGCCAACTGCCCAATATTTCCCAACTTGCCCAGGCTTCTCTTGAAGTTTCAGGGCTGCACCAGCAGGCACATCAGTACACACTCTCTGCAATCATGAGCCAAACCTGTTAACTACCTGGTAAATGATTCGCTGGTGGCTATTGCTTGTTCCTTCCTTCCAGCTGGAGTTCCTACTGCAAGGAAGTATTGTCTGTAGGAGAACACATACAGTCACTTTGTGCAGAGGGAGGACCGCTGGCCAGGATTATTACATCCTTCACCAGTTTGGTGCCTTTTGGACATAAAACTAGGCCTGGAAAAACTTTTTTTGTGCTCTGAAAGCCTCTTTAGCTTAACCTTTCCACTTGAGCAGCAATGGGTTGTTTTGCTTGCAGGTGAGACTGTTCAGAGACTTCCATGAAGCCTCCATTGCATGTGTTCTTCCATCTGTGCCATGATAGTAAGCAGGAAGGGCTCCATCTCTGAGGATTGTGGGCTGCCTGAAATGAACACATATTCACACCACCTATACCTGGGTCACATAATCATGGAACACTTACAGTTTACCCTCAGAAATTTTCACCCTCTAGCTAGTTTCTGTCTGCATTTCTCTTGCACATCTAGACTGGCTCAACAGAAGTCTACTTTTATGGCATGGAAATGCAGCTTCCAGTTAAAATATTGAGATGTAATTACATGATGCATTGTTAGTAACTGTACTTGTTGTGTTTCATAACAAATTACCCTGTGACCTGGACTGAATCGAAATTATGAGAAGCTGAGGTTTATCTTTAGACTATATTTCAGTCAAAAGAAGCTGCCATTCCCAGGAGGGCAGTGTTCCTGTTGGCTGGCTGTGGACTTGGTATAAGGTGAAAGGAAGAGCTCCAGCCACATCAGAAGTATTTGGAGCAGCATGTTTCTTAGCTGGTGATCCCTGAGTTATGGAGGGGTCAAATGAAGCATATTCAGGTGTCGGGAAAGAATCCCTACATGTTAGAAACTTTTATTGTAAAGAGGCTATCTGCCACACACACCCCTCGCTTGTTCTGATGTTCTGTCCCCTTTATTTGCCTTCTGCAACAAATCTATGCATAAGGCTCTGTGGATATATATATATTTTTGAGTATGTTTAGTAGAAATGAGAAAAACTAAAAATTGAAAAAAGGATTGAGAAAACATTGAGAAACGCTATATTAGGTTAGTTTGGGCTTGTGATAATTGACTTCCAAATTAACCTGCCATAACTAGCACAATTAGAAATGCTTATGTAGGAAATCTGAAAATATTTATATCATAAATGTTTGTGACCTGGAACAATTTTTCCAGGACAGAAATATCTGTGGCTAGCTGGTCACAATCAAAATTAACATCTAAGAAGTTCAGGAAGAATCACAAGCTTGTCCCAGTAGTAACAGTTACACTCAAATTCTTATCTGGCCAAATGGCACCTTGCAAGGAAGTTCAAGGGAGTTGAGGCACATGCCGCTGAACCTTCATCAACTTACATCAGCTCTGCCTCTAACCAGGGACTGAACACCGTCTCTCTAGCATATGCAAATTTTCTGTGTTGGTCCTGCCCATAATTTCTGATTTGTTTTTAATTCTGCCAAAGAAGGAAATAAACTCTGCGTCCTTGCAAAATTTTCGTGGCTCTTCTGATTTGGGGTGTTGCAGGGTGTGTAGTTAATGCTCTGAAAAGGCTTCGGGATTCCTGGATGAAAGGTGTGATGAAAGAAGTGTACTGTTATTGTTTTAGGGGAGGAATCATGCTAGTGGGTAAGCCTCTGTCACTGAGACTTGCTGGACTTGTTTGTTCTGACTTGCCTATGACTCCTTTCTTTCCTAATTCAGGTGATAAAGCCTCAAGTCTATGCTGAGATGCTGCACAGTGTGTTTAGTAGTTCAGGACGGTGCATCTCCCAGACAGAAGAACGTACTGCTGACCTCTCGTTGGTGTCCAGAGGTGAGTGCCACAGCTATCAGACTTGCTACTTGGTAGTTTGGGCAGCGTGGTTATATAATGTGGAGATTTATAGGGCAATTTCGGGGCTTTGACCGAGGCAGGGGCGGAGAATGAATGGCACTAGCTCTGAGCTTACATCTGATTTCAGCTGCCTTCTACGCATCAGTAATCCTTCTGATCCTTCCCCTTTTCTCTTCACCCAAAATGTGTTTTGTTTTCCAAGAATTCCCTGGCTCCTCTAACCGGGTGGTATGGTGATAAGCCAAGGTGGTCTGTGGCCACAGAAGGTTTTAGGGGGCAGGTGAGAGTCCTCTCTCTGTGTTCTAACTCTGATCTGCCTTTCTTGCTGCTGAAGTTAGTGTTGCAGTCACGGTTGCTGAACTAGCAGCGTGGTATGAGATGATAAGCAGGATAAAGTTATAAAAATATCTTCTTGTGCTCCTGTTTATTTTAGTAGGCTTTGTATGCTGCCAGTGAAGTGTTAATCTGTGCAGAATCAGCTTGGAAACACACCAAATCTGGTACCAAACCATTTCACCCACCCTACCTTGGAATGAAAAAACAGACAAAAAAAAAAAAATGATTATAATTGCTTGTCTAGTATCTCACTTCTGGAGTAGATTCCCACCTATTAATAAGAGAGGAAGAGCAGGCAGGCAAAGCCTTTTTCAAAGGCTGGAAAGGAGAGAGCTGCTATGTTCTGGGACTGATGTACGGACAGAATAAGGTACTAGTTTGTGATCAATGTAGATGGTGATGTAGAAGCTGTTGAGCCTTGTTCTAAACTGGATGTGTTTAGTGGCCAGGTGCTTCATCTCCCTTAGTCTAGAATGGCCTCTCTTACCTTCACGCAAGTTGTCGAGTTCTTATGTTGTAAGTAGCTTTCCTAATTCTCCTAAAGCTTGTTACAGAACAGGGGAGTCTTTTCAAGATGTTTTCTGTGACAAACAACTGTGGAAAATGTGTTATTAATCAAGATTATTTCAGTTGTTAGCCCTAGTTATATCCCACAGGTTATTGAACTAGTATGGTAGGCCAGCAAAGAACTGACAACCACCAAAAAGGTGTATACAGAATGGGTGAAAGAAAGGAACAACAAGTGTTTTGTGCTGATTGCAAAGGTGATTAAATAATTGAGGAAGCCTTTATGAACAGCATTCTCGCATTCTGGACATTGTTAACTCAGACCTTATCAGTAATTTATCCCAAAGGCTGAATGCTGTGCTTGAATCTTGCTGCAAATCACAAGAGCAATCTTTGAAGCTGTTGTCTTTGCTTGGCTGAAGTGTGCTGCTGGTAAGCAGCAAGGGCCTTGGTAGAGTTGTGGATAGTCAAGGGGAGGGGCTCAGTTAGTATGTGGCAAATACATTAGTGATACTTTATCTGACTGCAGAGGGGTGGCATGCAGCACCTACTGTCTTTGTGGGATGTTTGAGGGTGTGGGGAGATCAGGCTGATTCAGCATGACGCATAGAAGAACACACACATTGTTTCCCTCAGCAGATCCCTTCAATATCTGGAAGTCTACCATTGTATCAGAGCTGCTTTAGGAGATGTCAAACATTGAGTGAGTGACACTGGTAAGCAAGCACTAGCTGCTTTTATTTCAGTGCCTGAAGTAGAAGGGGAATGTTGTCCCATCCTCTTAAAAGTGTGTGTTGTGGGTATGCCACAAGAGCAGAGGAGAAGGACAAGGTTGGTGTGATTGCTCATAGCAGAGGTGGGAATGGAATTAGCGTGTCTTGCTTGCGTGGCCATGTACTTTTGCTACTGGACTCCTGGGGTTAAGTAGACATGCTCCAATTACTGCCATTCCCAAACACCCTGCCAAGGAAGAACGCTTCAGGGACATAGTTTCACATTGCACTCACCAGGCCAGCAGATTAGTTTGTTCAGTTGTCTTGTGAAAGGTCCCACTTCTACGAAGAGTGATTGTGGGGCTATGCCTGAATCCTAGAATGGAGAAATGGGAGCAACTTTAAGCGTGGAGAGTCCCTCATCAGTGTGTTTGCAGACCATATTCTACCCTTGGCTCTTCCAAGAGTATTACAGTAGCACTGAGCAGTGGTTGGACTAAAGTTACTATAGGAAGAAAGCAGCAGATCAGATAGCAAAATCGAAGAGTTTGCATGTTTTCTTCTGCACAGAACTTGGCAAAATGCTTCCAGTAAATACTACTAAAAACACACTGTGGTTCAGATCCATTTGAAAGCAGATATAGGTAAGGGGTGTTATGAAGGCTTAGCTTAAGAAGTCAGAAAAAGTCAAGGGCAGATTCCGAAAACAAAACAGGGAAGGTGTTCCCTGCTTACCTTTTCCTAGAACACAGGTGGTAGTTTCACTCCCTTTCCCTGTCTGAACAGCCATTTTCCATTTAACAAAGATCAATTTCCTGGTATCAATGTTACTGAGGCTTTTGGTAACATGCAGTAGAAGAGAGAGAAAAGTTCAATATAGTGAATCAAATTCTGTCAGGCAGACCTGAAAGCTGGAATGAGCGTAGTAACCTTTTAAGGAGTTTGGTACAGAGTGAGAGAGAAGGGACGGCTCATCACCTGTGTATTGTGCTTGTCTTTACTTTTGGATAAATGTTCCAAATTGGAAGGTAAGGGGTTCATTTTGGGCTGGTCAGAAATTCAACCAGAAATGCTGTCAGTTCTCTGCTTGGTTTCATAAGGAAGACCAGACAATCTTGGCTCCATTGAAATTTCAGTACAGTTCTTTCTGATGTGCCAATAACTATTAATGTAGCTTTAATTCTTGCTACATTTCACTTATTTATATCCTGTATCAAGGCTTGACATATGTGCATAAACACACCTTTGTGTGTAAAACAGCTATGTTTATATTGAATTAAGTTGCTTCCAAAATAGTTTATTTGGATTCTTTTCTTTGGCACGGAATAACTTTTTAGTCATTGAAATGCTTTCTTTGGCACGGAGCTGAGGTGTGTAAACTGAGACTAATAGTTCCCATTACCAGTCCAAAATGAACCATGATAGGAATTTCAGACGCTACACTCACGGGATCATCTTGGGCTCCCTGGGAATTAAGCATGTTTTAAATGAGAATGTTGATTGCTGGAGGAGGTCTGATGTTCATTCAACGTCTTGCCAAGATAAGCAGGTTTGTACTGAACTAAAAGATCTAGGGTTTGAAAGTTCTTGCTTATTTCCTGCAGACCAGAAGCTGCCAGATAGAGACTGTGAGGAGGTGGTTTTCAGAGCAGGGAGGACTCAGCCTTTCAAGGTCTCTGAGTGGAGAGTGACTTTTGATTTCCTAAGGCTTACTTTTGAGGAACGAAGGTCATCCTCATCCTTTCACAAGGGTGCGTGCTCTGTTGGAGGATGAGTATATTGGTGTTACCTGAATTCCCCTGATAACCCTCCTGAGAGTGAAGTGTTGGTTACTGTAGTTTGGGCTGTAAAAAAAAAAAAATTATTAATAATAATAATAACAATAATCAGCATGTGGTGTAAGGAAAAGATTCATTTATAGGCTAAGGTGATCAGATAATCTCTGCCTCTGCGTTCATCAGCACCACAGAAGAATCAGTGTTTCTCTGGCCAAGGGAGTGTTGCTGGGTGGAGCAGAGTTTTCTTGGTGAGTGAAGCGTGAAGACCATACAGAAACCTGATTGCTGAACAGGGGGATCCACCTGCCACTGAGCTATTTAACTACAGAGATGGCTGTCCAAGGCTCAAGAATCCCTGTCAGGTGGTTATTCTGGTAAAGCATGACGATCCTGCACCTCCTGGCATGGCAGCAAAAAGGCTTGGGGAGTGAAGGAGCTAGTTGGAGATGGAACTTGTGTGATTATTACTAACTGAATAGACTGGACGTAACCTGAACAAGAGCTGTCATCTTAAACATCCTAGTTGGCCTCAGCAGAGTCAGGCTTAAAGCCAGACCTACTTGTGAGTGTTTTTGTTTTGTGCATACAGTCTCTAACATGGAGTCTAGGACTAAAATTCCTGGGCACTACTGGAAATACACATTGCTCCAATACAAGTAGTACATGCTTGGTGTTGCCTACAGCTCAGGTTTTTCTTCAAAGAGTGATGGATAGCTACTCCTGGGACAAATAAGGCCATCTGTTCTTTTTTTTTTCTTTCTTTTTTTTTTTTTTTCCCTAGCCCTTCTGCACAGCTGCTGACTAGCATCTCTGCTGTTGAAGTGGACAGAAAAGATGGGGGCTGCTGAGCTAGGTCCTGCATCTGGGCAGCATTGCTGAAGGATGTATATTGGCAAATGTGCACTGTGGGAGGTGGTGAGACTTGGCCCTTCCACTGCAGAAGAGATTTTTCTTGTCCTGGTACTCACCTTAGCAAGACAGAGGTGCAAGGTAGAGGTCAAGAGCATCCTGCTAAAGAGAGGAAACTGGTTTGGGTTTGAAGAGGCACACTTCATTTTGTATATCCCATACAGAGTAATAACCTGTATAAGTATAGAAATATAAGGAAGTGCTTCCTAAAAATTGTTTTCTTAAATTCTATTAGTGAAATCAGTATCAGAAGTGGAGAAGGCTTTCTATTTTTCATCTCCAATGTTTTCATTTCCCCCAGCGCTGTGGCAGTTAAGGTATCAGTTTCTCCTTCGCAAATCTCTGTGACCTCTAGAGAGCAGGCAGGTCTGAAATGTTGGGGAAGGGGGTCTCTGCTGGCAGGGTTTGATGTGTATCCAATATTTGCATGAAAAAAAGAGACTGAAATTCCAGGTAGTGCTCTGCCTGTCAGAGCACGAGTCCTGTGGGCAACAAGACATTCATTTCTCCAGTGTGACTCTTAAGCTTTTGAATCTTAATCGTAAGGGCCCCATCTTGAGGAAATCTATATACAGGTCAAAAAAACATTGGCTAAGAAATAAGAATACTGCTGCCTCAGTCTCTGCAGAGTCAGCCATACGCTGTTGAAGCTGTGCTTCATGCTCCCTATGCCAAGAGCAGCGGAAGGACGTTGTGCTGATTGCTGTTTGAGTGGAAGCCCACTGGGATGGGAACAGCTGAAGCACAAGGAACCAGGCAAGCCTGTCAGCAGGGGCTTGGGCTGGAGAACAAAAGCTCACCAGTGCAGAGAGCAAGGCTGGATGCCAAAGCAGCATCTTGAAAGCAGAAGAAGCGACTAGATGAGGAGGAGGCTTATTATTACCATAACAGCCAAGAGTCTTGCCACCCAGGGCACTGACCATTAGGTAAGCTGCAGTCCCACCAGCTGGGTCTGAAAGACCATAAGCTGTGAGATGAGGATGAAACTGCAGGGAAACTGCAACGTGTTGAACTGAGGCAGGGCAATCCCAGAGGTATTTCATTTTCATCTGAATCTCTCCATCCATTACACCCTTGGGTTAGGGGGTGGCATATACAGTGAAGGTCTAGATGGCCTGAAATCAAGGTCTTGGTGAAACCAGTTCAGTCCTAGTGACTGAATACTATATGCCACTGCAACTTGTGGTTCCCAAAGAAAATAATCTTGACCAGCCTAGACAGGCTGCTCTCATCTGCTCTACAGTCTGCCTTGCCACCAGGGAACTGAGATGGTCTAGTGGGGAGACGGCTAGACCTGCAGTAAAGCCTTGCAGAAAACACCACTGGTTAGAGAGCATAAAAACTTTCCTGCCTCCCTTCTTAAGCAATGGACTGGGATGCCTGCCAGCACTCACTAGATAAACTAAGATTTTGGGTGACGAGATCAAACTGTGAGTTGCTTCCAACTATCCTCTCATTTATTTAACACTCCCTCACTGTGTGCAGCCCCCTCAGCTGCTTCTTCTGTGCCTCTGTCCTTTTTTTTCCCCATCGTTTTCCTAGTTTATGTTTCCTGCCATCTCTTCCTCATAGTTTTGCTCAACTTTCTTGCCCTTGAGGCAGAGTGTATAAACCCACTCACTCTCCCACTGCTTCAGTATCTTTGCTGTCATGGATTTGTGCATCACAGCTTTACCTTCACTGCTGCTCTGTCCCCTGAGCTCATCTTAGGACACCAACAGCCTATCATCCCACTCTGCTTGCTCATATCCATGTTCACTCTGCTGTCTTCCTTGCCACCCCACAGCCAGAAAACCTGCAAAGCATCGCTCTCTCTGCCTGCCTGTTGCTTCCTGCTCCTGTCTTCTCAAATGTTGTTCACAAACGACTGTGCCAAAGGCCTGGAAAGGGGGAGAAGAGCATTTAGTATGTCTGGCAAACAGCAAACGCAAACATGGTTTAATGGGCATAATGCAGTATGGTGACTAGTCAGCTGAGAGCCTCCACCCCAGAGCTGGCTGCTGCCATTTGTCACTCCAGGCACCTTTGAGGGATTATCCCACATGTTCTTCTGACACCTTGTACTAAAGCCAGCCGTGATGTAGAGGCCTGGTGCGTGGCATGACAGCAGTTACTACATAGTGCCCTGTAGAATTACGAGGGATCTGAAATAATTGCACTTAAAGCTTTGCATCATCCTACAACAAAGCTACTGAGGACATGCGCAAAAATGCAGTTTTCCTAATGTTCTCTTGCCTAATGCTGTGCAAGAGGAAATAAATGGGAGGGAAAGGCTTACTGTGCATTTGTCCATGTGTGAGTTAGGTTCCCAGCCCTCTCGTGGGTCTGCTGCTGGCTTTTGGCCTGCCAATAAGACTGGGTCTTCTTGCTGTGTGTCGTCATGTTAGGTGCTATTTCTCTCCCCTCTGACAGGCTGTCTGGCAGAAGGCATGATGCTCTTACAATCTATGCATGCTTTTGCTGCAAAGAAACCCAAACCTAGTAGAAGACCAGTAAATGTTACTACTCATACCAATGAAAAAGATCTCAAAGCGGTGTGTTTTATAGCATCTCTGATAGAATCATAGAATATCCTGAGTTGGAAGGGACCCTTAAGGATCATCAAGTCCAACTCTTGACACCGCACAGGTCTACCCAAAAGTTCAGACCATGTGACTAAGTGCACAGTCCAATCTCTTCTTAAATTCAGTCAGGCTCGGTGCAGTGACCACTTCCCTGGGGAGCCTGTTCCAGTGTGCAACCACTCTCTCTGTGAAGAACTTCCTCCTGATGTCAAGCCTAAACTTCCCCTGCCTCAGCTAGAGGGGTTATCCCCTAGCCTAGAGTGCAGAAGGTGCCTCCTCTGTTATGAACTGATACATTCAAGTCCAGTTTAAATACCTGTGTGGGCAGCCAGCTGCACTTGAGATCTGTGTAATACTTCTTGATGGGAAATTGTCTCTACTGACCATGCCTGCACTACTTGAGGCTTTTCTCAGCTGTGCATGTGAGGTAGTGGAGGCAAGCTGGAACACAGGAGATTCTGACTAAATATACGGAAAAAAAGCTTTTGCCCTGAGGGTGGTCAGAGACTGCACAAGGATCCCTGAGAGATCTCTGTTCTTGGAGATAGTGAACACTTGACAAAGCCCGGGGTAACCTGCTCCACTGGAACCTCGTCTGAGCAGATCTAAACCCCTAGGGTTTGGAGGCCTTTCCAACCTCCCTCATTCTGTGAGTTTTTATGTCAGTGAGCTGAGTTAAGCCGCACCAGATGCAGTTTCTCTCAGGATGTGTTACTGTGTTTCTAACTGAACTTAGAAATTTATCCATGAATTTAAATTGGATATTTATCCATGTTTTCTTCTCCAATGCAGATACTGACTCAGATGGACACAGCAGTGAAGCGTATGGAGCCATGGAAGATAGCAGTCATCGTTGTGTCAGTAATAGTTGGTCTGGCCATTGTCATTGGCTTGATTACATATTTTTTGTGCCATTGTAAGTGCATTCCATTGTTGTTGTTTTAAGGAGATTTTTGAGGTATCTGTTGTGTTTCACTTGCTACTGTGGTCCTGCCTCGTGATTCAGGTGTGAAATTCACCCCAGCTATAGAATCTGCATGAGAACTTACTAGAGCCTGTGAAAGTCCTGTATTGATTAGAAACCCCCCAAGAATACTTAAAATATTACTTACCTGAAGTGGGGATTTAAATTTTATCTGTACTTCAGTTTGCCTTGCCCTGCTGTCTCCCCTGGTATCCACAGTTAACCAATTACTGTGGTCTTGAGTGTAAACCAGAAGTGTCTAGTTAAGGCACTCAAGCTATGCATAGTAAGCTTCGTCTTGAACAGGATTTTTGCAGAAACTGAACCTGGCATCTCTGGCTGAGGATATTCCAGAAGGAGAAAGGACAGAGGTTTGGGCTTTCTTGGAGTCCTGGTTACCAAGGATCTGGTTTCAGTGGTATTTGAATGATGCCACTCTATTCCCAGTTTCTGAAATACTCATGTGAGAGGTTTTGAAGTATATTGCTACTGGGACAGAGCTAGCTGTGTTGCTGTCTCAGGTCACTGAGAATCAGTGAGGCCTTGGTTTATTTTAGGATACCAGAAAGAGTAGGGGCAGAGCTGCAGCTTATTTTTGCAGTTAGCTTTTTGCTAACTCTGCATTATAGGGCCATTCTCTGCCATTCCCTCGAGAGCCAGATTTTAAACTTAACCCGAATGCTGAATGGCTGCAAACAGCTCTGGGCCACCTGCCTTTGTGGGGCAGGGACATGCCAGAGGGCATCTAGGCTGATTAGAAGAAGATGGTCCTCAGAAGTTTATTAGTGGATGTAATTTAAAGCTGCTTGGTGTAGTTGTCAGGGTAGAAATGAGCCCCCAGTTGGTCCATGGAGCAACAAAGTGGCCCAGATCCCCCTTTCCTCACAGTGTTGCCCAGACCTTGGTCACAGCGCTAAACACCACGCAGCCGTTCGCTCACCCTCCCCCCTCCCTCTCTGGGACGGGGGAGAGAAATGGAGAGTGAAGCCCGTGAGTTGAGATAAAGACAGTTTAATAAGACAGGAAAATAATAATAACAAAATAATAATAACAATAATAATAATAATGATACAATGGTGATAATACGAAAGTAATAGTATGTACAAACAAGTGATGCACAATGCAATTGCTCACCACCCGCTGACCGATGCCCAGCCTAACCCCGAGCAGTCCGGCCCCCTCCCCCCAGCTAGCCACCCCTATATATTGTTTAGCATGACGTCAGATGGTATGGAATACCCCTTTGGCTAGTTTGGGTCACCTGTCCTGGGTCTGTCCCCTCCCAGCTCTTACTGCACCCCCAGCCTGCCCGTTGGCAGGACAGAGCAAAAGGCTGAGATGTCCTTGGCTTAGTATAAGCACTGCTCTGCAACAATTAAAGCATTGGGGTGTTATCAGCACTCTTCTCATCCTAAGCCAGCCAAAGCCTGGAAGTCTTACTTGTGCCATGTTCTGCATGGAGCTGTGCTTGAATTGTATTGAAGAAAATGAACAACTTTTCCTTTTTCTCCTCTCTGCAGATCAGTACAGATATTACAATGCAGCTTTCCTTATCACCAACATCCAGTATGATACTCGGTACGAAAGGCAAACCACAGAAGAATTCAGATACCTGAGCCAAGAGATTGAAAACATGGTAAGCTAAGATGTTTCTCTGTTACTGCCTGACCTGTGAAGAGTCCTTCATTTGTGCGATTGGAAATAAGACGAGGCACAATCACCTCTGAGTCTAATGTGGCTGGGTTATACTGTGCTATTCCCAGGGCAAAGAGCAGGAGGATGAGGAGAGGAACAAGATTAAACAGTGGAAAAGCTGAGTCTGTTCCCTGACTCTGCCACTCACCTGTATTTAGCAGGGTGGTTGGGACTATCCTGCCTGCTATTGCCAACAGAGAAACCAGCAATGACATTAAGTTTTAAATGCTTGAGAAAAAGTGTAGATTGCTTGGGTAGAAAAACCTTTATTGGAAGATCAGCCAGTGTTCTGGGTATTGCTCTCAGCATCATGGTATCTGCATGCCTTGCAATTCTTTCTATGGTATCTGTCTCTCCAGACTCTCTAGAGGTAGGTTGGTGGTGTTTTTCCTGCTTGGGGCAGATGGGAAAAATAGCACAATGTGGTCAAGGCTCAGATCATCACAGTGTTAAGTGTTTAGTTCTCTTGGAAATAATCAGGAATTAGATGCCTAACTCCTGCTGGGAACTTCATGGTTTTCCCACAGTTGCACAGGACTTGCATAGATACAGCAGGGCAGTGAATGGCCCTGTGCAGTTCCACCCCAAATCAGGTGGGGTTTGTAAATAGTTGTGGACATATTCAGTGCAGGCATAGCATCTGGCTGATAGAGGATGTTCTGTGCTGGTTGCTGTACCCTAGCAGCTTCAGGGATATTTCTTATTGAAGCCTAGAGCTGGGCAGTAAAATTGCAGTTCGTTCCCATTAAATAATGGGGTGTACTGTGGAAATCAGTTACTGAAAAAGTTTGACTGTCTAGCAGAGGAACAGTTTAACCTCAGCATGATTCAATGTCCCAGAGAGCATACAGGGTATGAACTAGAGCTGTGAGAGGCTGTTTGTCCAACACATGCTACTGGCAAGGGGACTGTGTTGCTTGGCATTGATTGCCTTTTAACAAGGAAGGAAGACAGGGTGGTACAGAAGAGAGACTAAAATTACTTCAAAGATGCACAAAACACAGCACCGTGAGGAAGCCTTACGTGGAGAAAATAGCAAAAGTCCAGATAACTTATTTAAACCAGAAAGTTGGGACCGCATGCCTTTCGGGGTGCTGTTCAGTGTTTTTGTTCAGGGCAGATTCACTCTAGATTGTAGAATCATAGAGTCAATCGCCTTGTCCCCATTGCTTCCTGTCCTGTCACAGGACACCACTGAAAAGAATATGGCTCAGTCTTCTTTACAACCTTTCTAGTCATCCTTCAGTCATTTTTATATCCTTCCCAGTCATTTCTGGACTCTAGCATTCCACAGGGAGTGTTAAATTCCTTGTTGCTGTCTCTACAGTCAGGAAGGAGGAATCATACAAGTGCTTCTCCGCTCCACTGCAAGCTTGTCAGCAAGCTTTAAAACCTTGCGGTAGTGGCAAAGATGCCTTGTTGACTGTGTGCAAACAGATGGTAAGCACACCTGTCCAGCCTAAACTTCCCCTGCCTCAGCTTAACCCCATTCCCGCGGGTCCTGTCGCTGGTGTTAATGGAGAAAAGGTCTCCTGCCTCTCGACACCCCCTTACGAGGAAGTTGTAGACTGCGATGAGGTCTCCCCTCAGCCTCCTCTTCTCCAGGCTGAACAGGCCCAGTGCCCTCAGCCGTTCCTCGTACATCTTCCCCTCCAGGCCTTTCACCATCTTCATAGCCCTCCTCTGGACACTCTCCAACAGTTTCATGTCCTTTTTATACTGTGGTGCCCAGAACTGCACACAGTACTCGAGGTGAGGCCGCACCAGCGCAGAGTAGAGCGGGACAATCACCTCCCTCGACCTACTAGCGATGCCGTGCTTGATGCACCCCAGGACACGGTTGGCCCTCCTGGCTGCCAGGGCACACTGCTGGCTCATATTCAACTTGCTGTCTACCACGACCCCCAGATCCCTCTCTTCTAGGCTGCTCTCCAGCGTCTCATCGCCCAGTCTGTACGTGCAGCCAGGGTTTCCCCGTCCCAGGTGCAGGACCCGGCACTTGCTCTTATTGAACTTCATGCTGTCTGTTCCAGCAAGCCTGTAGTTGAAAAGGCACCCAGAGAGCAGAAGAGATGGCAAAATTTGGCGAGACAGCAAAATTTGGCAAGTCAGCTGTTTATTTTTGGTTCTGCAACTTCCAATGGAAATTTAGTAGTAACTTTGGTGTAGAGGTGGGGATCTGAAAGCAGCTTTTTGTGCTTCAGAGGCTCATGAGTTTGAGAAACTTGCACATACCATGGGCCTATTTTAACACACTATTTTCCTTTAACAGATGTCTACAGTATTTAAGAAGTCCATTCTAAGTCAGAGGTACATCAGGTCCCATGTTGTCAGTCTAAGGTAAGTAATGTGAAGGTCAGGAACAAACAGAAATGTGATGAAGATCCTTTCTTCCTACCCCATGACAGTAGGGAATGTGTCTGATTGATTTTGCTTGGATTATGCCAGGTGGATGACTAAGTCTAGGCTGCTTGTTGCTCTCCATCAGGGGCTCAAAACACTGGTGAGGTCTTAATCTGCTTAGAGGTCAGCAAAGAAGAGAAAATTTGCCTTATACTTTGGCAAGTTGATTACCTGAACACCAGTTGCTTGTGGCTGTGATGCAGTAAGTGACTTTTTAGGTGATCCCAGCCTTCACTGCTAGTTAAGGGCTCAAGAGATCCAGTCAGCTCTTTATTCCGTATCATTCTTCTTGGGGAAGTTTAGGCTGGTGTTTACCCCCCTGCGTGGTGTACAGCAAGAAGTGACTGTTCTCCCTCAGTCTCAGAAAAGAACTGAAGGAATAAATTCCACTGTGAGATGCCTGGATAGGGAGAGAAGAAAAGAGGCAAAAGGGACATACACTATATGAAGATCCTGTGGGAGCTTTTAAGCCTTTTTTCTCTGTGCAATAGCTTATGTATTGCTCTCAGTGATAAGAACCATTACTTCCATCACACAATTTGGGTTTCAAATAGTTAAATTTCTATAAGGCCTAAATCTGCTGTGGAATATCTTTCCCTTTATGGCAAAGAACGCCATACTTCCTGCAAATATCCTTTTCCACAGCAATTTGGGGATCGCTAGGTGGTTATTTTCTTAGGTTGTTCACATTTTTCTCTGCTACTGGTTTCTTCTGCAAGCCTCCCATTCTGTGTGTCTACAGAAATTACAGGATTTGGGATCTAGAATTAAGCAGACCCTTAATACCTTTTAGGCTGACCAAACAGTGCTCTGCTTTTAAACTATTTCACTAGAGTGAGTACACAAGAGAGTATTTTCTGTTGTGTAAATGTGCACGGGTTCAGCTTAGCTGCATCTCTGATCTCTTTGCCTCTAGGTTTCTGTTGCTTTTCCTTTACGCTGTTAGTCTAAAGTATCATGCTTCGGAGTTTGTGTTGATAATAAATGATCATACCTTGTTCTGATAACACAAACTATTGAGATTTTTGTCTCTCGATCCAATTATGCTAACTCACCCATAAATGGACAAGTGATTTATATGGAAAGAAATGCCAGAAGACCTTTTAAATTTCTGTGGATCTAAGCTAGGTTTTGTAAATGGATGTTAGGAATGGCTTGTTTGGTATCTGTTGAATGGTTTTAACTCTTGTGTTGTTTCTACTGCTACGTTCTGTTGATGGAGCTGCATAGAGACTAAAGGGAGTATTTCTTCCTCTCCTTGCAGAAGATTCCCTCTGATTGTTGTTACAGCATGAACCAGGCCTTTTGCTGTCTGCTGACGTATGTCATCATCTTCCTTTGCTTGTGCACAGCTATGATATTCGTTCCACACATCTGTGCATACCAGACCTGTTCTTGTATAAGGAAGGCAGACAGTGCAAGCAGAACTAAGAGGCTTAGTGCGCAAAGAGAATGACACCACTTTGTTTATGTTGGTTTGCAGCCCGGATCCTGGTGGAGTGCTTGTATCTGTTGCTCTGGTATTTAAATTTGCCTCAGCTGATAGTACGGCAACAAGCTGGAGTCGTGTCAACAGTGTGTTACGCAGAAGGCTGAAAACAAGCTCAACGTCATTGAATGTTGACCAGTCTACTATAACTCTCACAGGCAAGTGCCTTAGGTTTGTGTTTTTAGCTTGGAATTTGTTCCTAATACTTTGCTGTTTTCAGTGTAATGAGCTTCGCTTTACTACACAAATACATGCAATTGCTGTTTTCTTCTTTTCCCTTCTCAAAATTGTTTTAGTGGCTGACAGCCCAGGAACTTGAAAGTAGTAGTAGCACGAAGAGAGCTAAAGCAGACTGACACCTGTTTTAATGAGTGAGTTCTGCTCTGTGCATCACAAGTTGGGTGTGTGACTTAGCTCTGAATGTGATTGGCCAACCTAATCTATCAAAAAAGAGGCCCAACTTTTCGATCTGGGTTCACTCTGGGTTTACTCTGCTAAGATGCACAGTGAATTGGTGAGGAACCTGTATCACAAGGTACTTAAATGTGGAGTCCTCAAGCTCTTGAAAAATAAAAATTAAAGTCTGAGATGGTTCCCTTCTCCATCATCTGCCATTTCCTTTGCTTATTTCACAGGTCACTGTAACAAATGTTCATAACCAAACCCTATGGTTCCCTGGGCAGTCAGTAGTCCTCTCCCATGATTCTGTCATTGGTTGCTACCAGAACCTGGCAGAGGGAGTTTTTGTAGGGAAGAATCAGTAATGTTACAGCCAAGCTCAGCACTGGGGATTTGTAACCACCTTGCCTTACTGAATGTGAACCTACGCATATAGGTTTATGTATCATGCATAGCCCCCAGCACATGTAGATGTTACTTGGACCTATTTGGTCATCTATCTGCTGCTTTTTTAAGCTTTGAGCTAAGGCACAAAAGACTCATCCTTTGGCCTTGTGCTTTCAGTGAGGATTGTAAGCTGAACTGAACCTCTCCAATAGAGCAAATTACTTTTTTGACCATAGTGTCACTACAAGCAGCAAGGCAAACAATTTCATATGTTTACTAGGTACAGAGAGGAGGCAGTTAGGTCCTAGATCACATAGCAATATGAGGCATGCTCACTATATTGTTTGTTTTTCATTTCAGAGCTGAATGAGGACAAGGGAGATACCCTTTTAAACAACTGTAAGTACAAATGCTTTACAGAAATTATCAAGGGACATGGTGCTTATATATTCAGTGTTCGTATGTTTTTCGTACCTGAGATACAAGTTGAAAAATAACTTCTTAAAGCTATTAGAATAGTAGATAATTCACGCGACAGGACAAGACTTGAGTCTTGCTGGTTCTATAGTATTTGCAGAGTAGACATTCCAACTTGGTGGTGGTGGGAAGCACTTGCATTAGTGTTGACTACGTGAAGTAGATGAGTTGATGTCAGTGAGTTTTGCATGAGGACTGCATTTGCTGTGAGCTGAGAATCGTGCTGGATGGGAGACTGCCACTTGCTAAAACAAGCAAAACAGGAAAAATACAGCATTACAATGTTGTCCAGGTTGTATCTTCCAAGCATACCATACATGGCATCTTAAAGAAAGCCCTAGCTTTTAAGCAATTTTTGAAAGTGATCACGCCAGATCCATTCCTCTAGAAGACAACCTTCTGCCTGCAGAGCCCCTGTTCAGTCCTTTGCTTCATTGCACATGCATGTACATTCCTGACTGCCCTGAGCTGGTAAGCCATTGACCCTACAGACTAAAGAAGCTAATGGCATCCTGCTGGCAAAGACGAATAGCTCTTAGACTGCTCATTAATTCATCTTTCCTTTCTTCTCTTGCCACTTTCCGTGTCTAACAGTGTTTGTCTGTAAGAGAAGGGTTGTTGTCTTGTACCCTGCACAGAGGTCATGTCCATGGCCTTGCAGGAGTTGGAGGTGGTGCCAGAGCAGTGCCAAACACAAAGCTGGAAGTGAGCTATCTGGGGAAATGAGTGATCTGGTGAACTCACACCATGTCTAGCAGCTGCATGTCCTCACTCCTTCCAATACGTCCTCCATCTGGCCCTCTCCTCCCTGTGAAAGTTTGGCAATAGATGTTCTTAAGGTTTGGGAGCTAAAAGCTTGCAGCCTTCAGTGAAAGACCAGAGGATGGGAGAGGGAGAAGAGCTGTCCACAGCGAGAGCAAGGCAGTGACACAGCCCTGAAGAAGGGAAGGTTCTGAGTCCCTCTCCTGTTCTGTGCTCCCAGGCAAAGTGATAGAACTGGAAACGTGGAAACAGGATCAGTACCTTCTCAGGTGAACTCTGTACAAAGGGCCTCTGACTGCATCTTTGTGCTGTCCTGAGCACTAGAGACCTCCAGCACCCCTGCCTAGCATGGTCACGGGCATTGCGTGTGTTGCACATGGATGTTCCATGTTTAAATGGTCCCTAAGAATTGTTTTGTTTTGACTTTTTTTTGGCTGAGTGATATATGACTGTGCTGTTGGCACAGTGGCTGTAAGTAAACCATTGAAGGAAGAAGACACTATTTATTTATTTTTTTGCTGTTGTTGTCAAAGCTGACCTGCAGGTGACCTGACAAAATCCTGTTCTTATTTCCTTGGTTTATGGGTGGTTGTTTTTTTTTTTTTTTTTTTTTTTTTTTGTTGTTGTTGCTGAACTTCTCTAGCAATTCTGTGACACTTAAAGCTGTACTGATTGTGTTGTTATTTCCTTTGCTATGCAGGTGGGGCTTTACAAATAATGAAAGATTGCCCCGCAGCGTTTGAGTTCACAAGTGATGCGTAGTGTCTGTCTGCTGCATATTTTGGTGTTGGTGTGTGTATTGAAGCTGAAAGCTGTCCTGGTCTGGCAGTTGTTTATATAGGGATTCATCAGTATTTTCTCACTCAGTTTTTAAGTGTTTTTGATGTTCTTTAATGTACAGTAACAAGAGAGGGATAGCCTCTTTAGATGAAACTCAGATGTCATTGTTATAAAAGCTAATGGTTAATTACCAGTGCATGTGTGTGTCTTTGTGCCTAATAACGTGGGTGGGTGTGCCTGTATGCACATACACACCAGCAAGCATATCCCTCTGTACAACTCTAGACAAATATGAAACAAAGTGAGGTTCACAGACAGGCAGTATTTTTTAGTTAGGCAAACAGTTACAGCTGGAAAAATAGTCTCTCTGATATACAGCCTTCGTGGAAGTTCACATGGCCTTGTGTCTGGCAACTGGTTTAATGAAAAAGTGGTAGTTTTTCTACCAACTTTCACTTAACCCCATACCTATCCCAAGATGCTTGTGACCACAAAACCTGGCTTCCTTGCTATTGAAGGCACTGTTTTAGGTGAGGGTTGTCTCTTGACATCGCTTCCCTCTTGTGCCTGTGTTAGCAGCCACGTGGGCCCGCCCAAAGCAAGACCCTGTTTTCCCTCAATCAGCTAAACCAGAGCTGCCTTTTTTTTTTTTTTTTTTTTTTTTTTCTGGCAGTCTGTGGAATTCGAAGGGAGACATACTCCTTCTCAGGAGTGGAAAGAATAATCGGCGGGCAGCGTGCACAGGATGGGGAATGGCCATGGCAGGCTAGTATTCAGCTCGATGGGACCCATCGCTGTGGTGCATCGGTGATCAGTAACACATGGCTAGTGACTGCGGCCCACTGCTTTAGAGGGTAAGTCATCAGCACCTTTCTGATCCTATAGGCCCTATGACTTCTGGGTGCTCGGACAGGTCGTCTCTGGTCTTTCAAGGCCCACTAATGTCTATACCTGCTGAAAGATATCTGTCTCTTCTCTGTTCCTTGGACAAAGCTGACCACATTACATCTTGGTGAAATGGAAAGCTGTGTTCTTGTTAGGATCGTCTGTATGGCTGTGACCTCGTCTCAAATGTCTTTCAGAGCAAAAGAGCCTCGCAGGTGGACAGCCAGCTTTGGAATTCTGCTGAGACCTCCGAAACAGAAAAAATATGTCCGAAGAATTATCGTTCATGAAAAATACAGCGAATTTCTCCTCGATCACGAGTATGATGTAGCTGTTGTGGAACTTGCCTCCCCTATTGAGTTCACGAGTGACGTACACAGTGTCTGTCTTCCTGAAGCATCTCATGTATTCCGGGATAATGCTTCTTGTTTTGTCACAGGCTGGGGCGCTTTGGAGAACGATGGTGAGTGTCTGTTGTCTTCTTGTGCTGTCACACGTGTCTGACAAGGCTGATGTTAGTTTTATGTTTTTTGTTTGTTTTGGATTTCTGAGACTTTAAGAAGCGAATTTGCTAACAATGCACTGGTGGACTTGGCTTGCTTTTTTGTTGTTGCTTTTGAGTGGTGGCCTGGAATATGGAAAAAAGCAGCAGGTTAGCCTCATAGAAAAAAGAGCAGCTTTTTTTTTTTTGTTACTGTATGTATTGTGATGGCTGAAGGTGCTCAGTTTTTCATTCTTACTTGCTCAGTGTTCTGGGATTAGCTCTGACATTAATTTTTATCTTTTTACTTTTGTCTGTCATACTAGTTGATGAAACCTTGTGATAGATCTCTCTTTGGTGCTAATTCAGGCTTCAGTTCATCAAATAACTTGAATAACCTTCTGAGCAATTGAGCTATAAGCTGTGTTTTATGGCAGATTCTTGGGGTGATTGTCTGGAGTTGCACTGCAGTTAACCAAACGGGTCTTTCCGTGGGCATCAAGGACACACCTCATAGCCAACAGCTGAAATGAATGCTGAAATGTGTACAAAAATCCCTTTTCCTGTTATGTGAAACAGCATCTGGATGGAGAAGGGTCATGTTTGGGATGAACGAGTAAGGACTTCAGGATAAATAATAACTTTCTTCTTTAGACATTGTCTGAGTAGCTCCCTTTGCTGCCTGCAATGGCAGGAAAGCTATAGAAAAATTTGACTACTCTTAATCCTTGTGTGTGTTTTACGTTGCATACACTGTCTGCAAATCCTAATACCACTTTTCCTTCTAGGCTATAGTGTTAATCAACTTCGACAAGCAGAAGTGAAAATTATAAGCACTAGGATTTGTAATAGGAGGGAGGTGTATGGTGGAGCAGTAACACCTGGAATGTTGTGTGCTGGATACTTAGAGGGACAGGTGGATGCTTGCCAGGTAAGTCTTGTCTTAAGTAATAGTAAAAGAGAAGGACATGGGGTGGGAAGTGATGTTTCCTAGAAATAAGAAATAATCAAGGTCCTCCAAAGTATGTTTTTTGATTATGGGGTTCAAGATCTTTACAGATGTAAATTAGGAACTTCATTGCTCCTGGGCTGCGGTCTGCACTTACGTGTTTAGTTTTTATATATAAATGAAGATGTGAGGGTGTAGAATGGAAGAGAATATTAGATACTGGCTGTCAGCTTCCATCTTCTCAGGAAGTCATGCAGAGGTTAAACATAGCTGTGGTCTGAAGACAAACATTGTTCTGTTACAACTGACAAATGTGGTGCTCACTTCACTAGCGAACACTGTTTTCTTTATGTTCCTGCCTACTGATGTTTTTCTCCTTAGGGTGACTCTGGTGGGCCACTGGTGCATGCCAACTCCAGAGGAATCTGGTATCTCGTGGGAATAGTGAGCTGGGGAGATGACTGTGGCAAGCCAAATAAACCAGGAGTATACACACGAGTGACTTATTATCGAGACTGGATCGCTTCCAAAACGGGTATCTGAGACCTGCAGTGGCTTAAGTTTTGTGGGCTGTGTGTAAGGCTATTCCTCTGACACATTCTGCTCTGTGGTTACCCTCTAAACAGCTGCTGGCTTGGCTTGTGGTGATATATCGAGTGCCAGCAAGCTCAGAGTAGTCTAGGACTTGAAATTGGTTTGGCCTACCTCCAGAAAAGAACGGACTCAATTCGTGTGACAGAGCTGTTTGTTCACAAAGTATTCTGTCAAAGGGGCAAAGACTTTGGTTTACGTGCAACATGCTGACCCTCTTCTCTTTGTCCAAATGTCTTGGCCACTACTTTTGTAACCAGGCAAAGCATCTGAGCCTAAACAATTATTTATCAGCATCCAAGAGAAGTCATAACAAAAATATTGCCCATCTGTTTGCTGCATGTTCCCAAGGCCCCTCCTATCTGTAGACCAGCTGTAATTGAGCCCGTGACTCCAAGGCTGTTGCGCTTCTGAATACTCCTTGAGCTCTTTTCCTGCAATGCTCCAGGAAGCATACTGTAATAATGAACAGAAGATGGCTTAGAGACATTCCAGTTCCTACTATCATGTCAGCTACCTAGGTGAACTGAGAAGTTTTCTTTGCTGTGTTATCCTGAAGAAGTGATTGCTGAGAGACATCAACTTCTGTCCACGTTCGCTGAACAAGTGTGTCCACTTCACACTTTGTGTGAACTGTACCTACCACAGCATTTGCCACAAGTGATTGCTGGATTTGAGACTGAAAACCACTTTGTATTCATGCCATTCTGTTGTCATATCAGAATATTTGGCTGAATGAATTTCCATTTTAAAACTTTCTGGGTTGTATTGTTTTTAATAAAAATCCTTGGCTTTTTGTGCAGGATGGAGCTTTGTAACAATCTTGGTATGACTGTTGCTGAAAACAATCTCCAAAAACTGCTTGTTCTCACAAATGGTGCTCTCAGGTCTTTTTAAGTGAACCTGTATATCTTCAGCTGCATCCTGGGTGGTAAAAAAAACACATCATTGTCACGGTGGAAATGCATGTCTGCTTCAGAACAGAGAACTTCAGACTGACCCAGAAATCCACGTAAAGATCTTTCTCCTGTCAGGAGTTAAGAGGTGCCTGTGTCTTCTTGCTAGTCCATAGCTAGCCCATCTGATCTCACAAACTTTCTACTTTCTTTGCCTTTGTTTTCAGGAGCCCATGTTCCTCAAACTTGTACACCCCAGCAGTGGAACATGCTGCTGAGGATGCTTTCCTTAACATGTTTGCAGACTCTTTCCAACACCATGTGGTTGCTCATTCTGACAACACTGAATGGTGTGGTCTTAATTGTTTGATGTACGAGCCACTCACTTGCTCTCTTCTTCTTTGGTGGTCAGAAGAGAAAGAATTTTTCAAAGGAGATACCAGCCACACTGCTGAGACCCAGAGCTGATCCAGTGTGACAAGCAGGCAGGAATTTTATGCCAGGCTAGAAAAGATGAGCAAAGCAGGAGGCTTTCAGCATCCTCACACTTAGACGATTTGGGAAAAGACTGATTATAGTCTCAGGATCAAAGTGTTGTCCAAACTGAGTACAAGTCAGTTAATACCATCAGTGGTAATTCAGGGGTAATGCAGCTTGCTGCAAACTCTACCCAACAGAGCATCAAGTTAACAGAAGTATTTTTATTGCACATCCTATGATTTAGGTGCCTGCAAGCACAGTAAACCATGCTTTACTGGATCTTCACTGGAGCTATGGGGTGTTTGGATGACCAGAAAAGGTTTGCATGAAGAACAAGGGTCTGAAGCTGTTATTCTACTTCTGTGAACATCATGAAGACCTGGTGTTTAAAATGTGCTCTCAGGGAACTTTTCTTGTGGAATACTATGAGTTCCAGAAATAAAAACCTTAGTGGTTTAAGTTTTAGGTAGGGAATAAAAAGATTCAAGCAGATTCCATAGATCTGAGCCTGACAAATATCACTTTAAACCCCTAAACAGAACATGCATATATTACCTGTAAAGGAAACTTAAAAACAATGCATGGCAAGTGTGTAAGATTTTTTTTTCCTGGTAACAATTGTCTTAGCGGGACAGTAAGTAAAATTCAAGTCTTCTTGAAAAAGAAACATTATTAAAAGATGCCATGAGTTTCTAATTCCCAAAGCACTTCAGGCTTGGGTTTTCAAAGGGCACTTTTTTTTTTTTTTTTCCTATCCTGCCAAATTTCAGTGTAGTTCAGGAACATAACATTTTCAGGTCTGCAAATCCCAGATATTTCACTGTTTTCCAGAAACAGGTAAGTAGATGTCCAAAAGATTTCTTCTGAATGTGTGAACTTTCTAGTTGCACTTGTTTTGGGTACAAAATCAGAAACCCTTCAGCATTTTGATCTGTGCAAAGGGCTGCTGCAAATGTAATTCTCCAAAGTAGTGCACACAAAGCTGAAAAAGTGAACTCACTTTTTGCTGAAGGAGCTACCAATTCTGAGGATCTGACTGGAAGGATCTAGTGCATGGCTGACCTTACTGCCAAGTGCCAGTGCAGTACAGCCAGGAGGAGTGGGACTTCAGAGGACCAGACACAGTGTGTGTTTTTCATGATCGCAGCAGGAACAAGCCTTCTAGCCTTGTTTCTCTTGGAAGCAATGTAGTTTCCATGCTCTGAGGCCTCTTGGTGATGCAAAGCAGTGTAAATGGGGACTGTCAATGAGATCGCTTCAAACAACGCTCCATCCACAGGCATACTGGTGCAGATGGGCCTGATGGATCTGAATCTCTTTCTTATAGCAAAACTACACCCATGTCAGCATCGTCTAGCGTTTCTTGAGAGAAATTGTGGAAACCTGAAGAAATGTATGCAGCAAAAATATTGTTTGGTTTAGGTGGCCTAGCAGACTTGTATTTTTTCTAAGCCGGTCTCACCTGTTTCTAAAGCTGCAAGCTTTGCCTGCTCTCAACCATGTTTTCCAAGGAACTGTGACCACCACTGAAGGCAGAATGGGATGCATCTAACCATAAATTGTGCGTGACACACAGGAATGTAATTTATATGTCAATCTAATAAAAAACTGTTAAAAATTGTCTTCTGTTCCAGGTACTTGTTAATTTCCTGTGTTACGGTAAACAACTGCCAGCTGGGGACTGATCGGTTTAAGAAGGTTATACCGATTCTGTGCCATGTATTTACATACCGAATTTATGTAGTCTTTAACAGTTGTCTTTGTCTTGTTTGAGGAGTGTCACCGGAAGCCCTGTGCACACTGTTGAGACTCAAACAAGTTAAAACACCTGCCTGCTGAAGGCTACCCAGTTTTGCATGCAGGCAGAAGCAGGTCTTGGATCAGCCACTAGAGGGTGAATCGTATTGTTTAAGGGCCTCTTACCTACTCATGGTGCTTTGTTTCAGGTGCTCTATTTCAGTTCCATGGAAGGAGCCTGGAGTACAGGGTACTATGTCAGTGTTGCCTTGGCAGTGCAGAGATGCTCCATGATCATCTTGCAAAATTTGAGGAAAGGACAGCTGTTCAGCTTTTAGAGTAGGCCTCCGCAGCACCAAGCTTTGGTTTCTTCCCCCACTTACCAAAAAGTTGGTATTAAATGCTCCTGTTCACATATGTAAGTACAGCATGTTATGGCTATGAGCAGGGGACTGAGCAGATTTTGCCTGCTTCTCTGCTGCACCAGAGCCAAACCACGGTGCTGCAGGAAAGCAGACTGAAAGTGCACAATATTGGTTATCGTTGGCATCATGGGTCTTTTTTCTCAGCTCATTGGCCTTCTTGCAAAAAGGATGGCAAAGAGCAGCAGCAATTTGGACTCTGGTAAGATGGGAACCTTGCAGTGGCTTACAGCTGCTGTTTGCTTTGATCTCCTGTTTTGAGAACTGATGATTCTTCTAGATTGAAGACCCTAAATTTGTTCCTTTCCAAGATGGGAAACTTGGGAAGTTCTGAGCCAGAAGAGCAAGCTCTTTATGAATAAAATATGCTGAAGTTCATTAATCCTGGTGTGTAATACCTAATAGCCAAAGGGAGGGTCTTGGAATTTGAGATTGAAAGGGTTAAAAAAAAAAAAAAAAAGTACGCCAGCCTTAGTGCAGAACTCCAAGACATGCAAGGTTGGTAGGAACAAAAAGGTTCCTTTGGAAGGACAGTAGCCCTTGTGTCATGTTTTACGAGGTCAAGTGTAATAAAGGGAGTCTTAAATCAGAGACAGGCTGTGTAACAGACGTCTTTGTAACAAGTCTGTTTTGGTGGTGGTTTTTTTTTTTTTTTTTTTTTTTTTTTGAACAATGTAGGGAAAACTACTTTTTTGCTGTTTTCTGGCAGCATGTGCTGTATACATGACACTTTATTAAATGAGGATTTTGTAGCTGATTACTGCCATGATGGTTAGAATAGCTAAGTGTTACAAACGGCTGTTACTCTGCTTTACCTTGAGCTTTCTAATTTAATATGATTATTCAAAGGAATTGTCATTTTAATGGTATTTTGTTTGCAAGCCACTGTTCATTGCTAGCAGCTTGTTCTCATGCAAATAAGCTGTTACCATAAAGACAAAGAAGAGGCTTTTGGAAACCTGTTACTCAAAAATCTGATGAGTTTCTTTTCCGTAAGCCTGGATAGGTCAAGGAATACATGGCATGTTTCTCATTCACTTGATTATTGGAAGGAATGCCTTAGCTAAACCCCAAAAGTTGTGCCTTGCTCTGTTCTTCCCCTCAGCTGCAGTGCCTCCCACCTTCTGGTTGTGTCACTAGGCGGCACAGTCTTTGAGGAAGGACTTGCCATCATCCTGGTATCCGGAGGCTGTTCTAACCACACGACAGTTCTTTGCAAGTCAAAAACAATCAGCTGCCTGCAATTGTCATGTGTCTCACCTCCCTCAGACTCTTGGGGTCACCTGCAGTCTGCAACCTTTGAGTGACCCAGACAGTCTGGGACTCCAGGCCAGCTGACCTGCATACCAAAGGGACATGTTACTGAGATCATCCCTTCCCAGCGGACAGACTGTGGCCCAGATGGTCTGGTTGCTCTTGCTTTGAGCGGGAGGCTTGGACTAGACTGTTTATGGTACTCAGGCTAGATGACTGCCCCCCAATGGTTTCTGTGGCAGGTGAGTGCTCCGGCAAGACAAGCTGAGGACAGCTGGCACCGAGCCACCTGCATGCTGATGGGCAGAACTTCACCAGGATGCAGTACTTGGTGCTGTTGTCCCCACCTTGTCTGGCATTGTTACCAATAATTGAGTAATCAATGAAAATAGTAGGGCATGGAGGGGAAAACAAGCCTTTCTGTGCAACCTAGGCAGAGCACAGATTACCCAAGAGGGAGCTCTCGTATGCACTGCTGCTAAGTGGGACCTTAATTTTGGTGCTGAGCAGCCCTGCTTGAAGCACGCTGAATTTTTCCTTCAAAGTGACTTCTCCTCTAAACCCTGACTTGCAAGGTTAGCCAGAGTTCAAATGGCTGCAGGAAGGACTTCATGGCCTTGATACTCATTATGTCTCATGTAGCCTGTGAAGCCTCAAAAGCTAATGCAGCATACCATGCATCAGGCAGGCAACTGCTCACAAGAACCCCAGTCTTGCATGGGTTCTGCATGCTGCTGCCAAGTCACCTGGCACAGATAATAGCTGGGGCAGAAAGCAGTTATTTCAAAGAGGCAGATGCATAGCTGGTAAGAACTAGAATGAAATCAAATCTAAGCTAGCCATTTTCTGGGAACATAGAGACATAGAAGTCTTGTTTTGACTATATCACCTGCAGAGAACAGAATAGGATAGTTCAGTTGGGAGGGACCTACAAAGATCATCTTGCCTCACCAGTATGCTCATCAATATGCCTGATCACTTCAGGACTAACCAAGAAGTTAAAGCATATTGCTGAG